TGAGGCAGACAGCTGGCATAGAAAATGTCAGCCAAAAAAGTTAGTTTGACAGAGTAACAAGGAATTGAACAGTGTTTTATAATGGGAAGTGTTGGACAAGCTTAACTGTAGACAGGATTATATGCTCATGTTATCTGCCTTACCTCTATAATGCATTTATGCACTGTAAATGCAACAGCCACGCTTAATGTAGGTCCTGCCACTCTTTAGAGCTGATTTATTTACCATTTCTTCTTAAGTGTTTCTTTTCTGATTGTTGAAAAAAAGATTAAACTTTAGGCCTGGAGACCATCATCTGTTTTCTTTACCATCCTGAAAAGTTAGAGCTAATTTCTTTGGCACTTTATTACCAATTCAAAAATAATTTTGCAAAATGTCTCCAAGTGTCTTTTTATATTAAACATAGAAAAAGCAACATTTTATATACATGTAATGTGTGTATGTGTGTCTATAATATAGCTGCCCACACATGCTCATAATATGCAAGTAAATTTAATCTTGGTTGCTTTGCAAAATTTTGATTTCCAAATACAAACAAGTTGCCAATTCCGGATGTGAATTTGCATGGTATAGTAGTAAACCTATAGCTCATTTATAAAAGTATAATTTCTTGATTTGCTCTTCTGTGGTTGAATTTTAATAAGATAAACATTTGTCACTGTCTGACAGTTAATGGCAGCATCAAAATCACTGAGTGACTAAGGTGACAAGTTACATTGACATGTCAGGTTTTTATTACTGCCCTTGGCGCTTAAGGATCTTGTATTAAGTGATATTTAATGAAGACTCATTCTGTTTGTCAGTCCCATGACATATTTATGATGGAAGGAATAATGTCCAGATGTCAACTTAAGATAAGAAGATTGCAGTAGGTATTACCTGTGTTAATAGCACAGAAGTAGTCTGAGGAGATGTAGGCAAATCAAATTGCATGTTTTATCAGGCTGCCAGATGGGGCTTAGGCAATTTTATGTGAAAATTCATGCACTGTAACTCAGTAATTCATGGGTCATGTTTGGAAAAAGCTCACTTATGGGGATTTACTACATTTGCTCCAAATTTCTTTAGTTTGTATAAGATTCTGTCATGTTTAACTACAGATACTATGACTTTACAAACATGCAGCAGTAAACAGCAAATTATTGTAAAAAATATGAAGACATTTCAGTTTCAGCTTGGAATGTACCTTAATTTATTCAACAGTCACTGGAAACTCCATAATTTTGCTTCAATAACATATAGTAATGTTCTCCATATGCACAAAAGGCTCCTTCAGATACAGGTATATTCTTTAGTTCCTGGTTTGAATATATGAAAATGTACACTTATTTGATACACATACATTTCTTTATTAAATACTAGCAGAAATACCTGGCGTCGCCTGGCAAAAATATAGTAAAAGGTGTGATGAACTAACTACGTCAATGACATTAACATAGCATATTTTATTGGAAAGACTTTTCTCTTATATATGACTTTAAGAAATTAACATAGCTAGTGATGTGCTTACAAAATGCATTTACATGCAACTCATTTCTTGCTAACAAAAGGCGTGGTGAAAGAACTATGTAAATTATGTTAACAACATATTTTATTGGAAATACTTTTTCTTGCATAGCGAAAGGATCTCATAGTTACAGTTTGTGATATGCTTAACAGAAGAGTCCAGCAAATGCATATGATCAGACGCTACTAAAAGCTAATTAGTGACCCAATCGGGACTCTGGGGGACCCGATTTTGAGCTATAACCAATCCAGTTATTGAAGTTAGGAAATCAGTAGTATCCGTTCAAAATTTGGTGTTTCCCAGCAAATGCCTATGATCAGGCGCTACTAAAAGCTAATCGGTGGCCCCATTGGGGCTCTGGGGGACCCAATTTCGAGATGTAACCAATGCAGTTATTTAAGTTAGGAAAGCAGTAGTATCCATTCAAAATTGGGTGTTTCTTACTCTTATCATTTCGGAGAGCTAAGCTAATTATCAATGGGCCCAATTGGGACTCTGGGGGAACCCGGGGAGTGGATTTTGAGCTATAATCAATGCAGTTATTTAAGTTAGGAAATCAGTAGTATCCATGCAAAATTTGGTGTTTCTAGCTCTTACTGTTTTGGAGATCTTTCAGAACAAACAAACTAACTTTTGGAAATGTTTATAAGATTTCAACAAGAACATCTCCTTAAGAGTAATATTCACTTCTCTAGCTTGTTCTCACAAAGTGTTTTCCAAAAATTAATTAAGTAGGAGCAGATAGAGATAGGTCTGAGTGTCAAATCCTGCCATGACTTAATCACATGCTTTACTTTATGTACACAGATAGCCCCATTGAGTTTGCAGGATTGTGGAAGTTTAGGTCCTTTAGAACCAATCTTTGACCTCAACGTTCGGTGATTTTGAATCTGAAATTTTGGTTCGACCCCTGTAGTCAGTATTTGTACTTTTCAGTTTGGCAGACTTCAGGTCCTTGCCTGTCTCTAGCTGGTGGAATTATCGCAATTTTATATATGGGAAGATGGAGGCATACAAAAGATAAAGCGGCTTGCTCATGCTCACACAGCAAAGCAGTAGCAAAATTATGAATACAAGCTGGATCTTGTGACATCCTGTTTCATGCTTAAATTTTTAACTTATGCAGCTTCTCAATAGTGTTTATAAAATCTATTATGTAATTTTTCCCCTATACATTTGATATTCTACAATAAGACATAATAGTGAAAATATGTCAAGAAAAAAATAGCACAGTAACTGAACAAAAGTATTTTCTTAAACATTGCAGGATTAGAAACAATATTTTTTGCAAACAGACCTGAGATCATGTACAATGGTATTAGACCATTTTAATATCTGGTGTGTTTGCCATTATTTTATTGTAGTATTTTTATATTTACTTAGAATCATAGGACACTAGCACTGGAAGAGACCTCAAGAGGTCCTCGAGTCCAGTCCCCTGCCCTCACGGCAGAGCCAAGCATAGTCTAGATCATCCCTGATAGCTGTCTATCCAACCTGTTCTTAAATATCCCCAGTGATGGAGATTCCACAACCTCCATAGGCAATTTTATTCCAGTGTTTAATCACCTTGACAGTTAGGAAGTGTTTCCTAATGTCCAGCCTAAACCTCCCTTGCTGCAATTTAAGCCCATTGCTTCTTGTCCTATCATCACAGGCCAAGGAGAACAATTTTTCTTTCTTCTCCTTGTAATAGTATCCCTTTCAGATACTTGAATAGTATCCCTTTTAGATACTTGAAAATCACTATCATGAACTCTCTGTCATCTCTTTTTCTAAACTAAACAAGACCAATTCTTTCAGTCTTCCCTCATAGGTCATGTTCTCTAGACCTTTAATAATTTGTGTTGCTCTTCTCTGGACCTTCTCCTTTTTCTACACATCTTTCTTGAAATGTGGTGCCCAAAACTAGACTCCAATTGAGGCCTAATCAGCACAGAGTAGAGTGGAAGAATGACTTCTTGAGTTTTGCTCACAACACTCCTGTTAATGCATCCCAGAATCATGTTTGGATTTTTTTGCAACAGTGTCACACTGTTGACTTATGTTTAACTTGTCGTTCACTATGATCCCAAGATCCCTTTCAGCAGTACTCCTTCATAGACAAACACTTCTCATTCTGTATGTGTGAAACAGATTGTTCCTTCCTAAGAGGAGTACTTTGCATTTGTCCTTATTAAACTTCATCCTGTTTACTTCAGACCATTTCTCTAGTTTGTCCAGATCATTTTGAATTTTGCCCTTATTCTCCAAAGCACTTGCAGCCAGGGGCGGTCCGTGAGCCTAGGCAAGCTAGGCAGCTGCCTAGGGTGCCACTGGCTCAGGCACCCGATGATGACATCATGGGGCGCCCCGGCGCCCAGTGATGACGTCACATCCATTGATGGCCGTGCAGGCAGGGGTACCGCAATCGGCTCCCCGCCTAGGGCACCAGCTGCAGCAGTCGGCCTCAGGCCACTCTTGCTTGCAGCCCCTCCTAACTTGGTATCATCGGCGCCCAGTGATGACGTCACATCCATTGATGGCCGTGCAGGCAGGGGTACCCCAGTGTCACACTGTTGACTCATATTTAGCTTGTGGTCCACTATTACCCCTAGATACCTTTCTGCCGTACTCCTTCCTAGATAGTTGCTTCCCATTCTGTATGTGTGAAACTGATTGTTCCTTGCTAAGTGGAGCACTTTGCATTTGTCCTTATTAATCTCCATCCTGTTTACCTCAGACATTTCTCCAATTTGTCCAGATCATTATGAATGATGACCCTATTCTCCAAAGCAGTTGCAATCCCTCCCCGCTTGGTATCATCTGCAAACTTAATAAGCGTACTCTCTGTGCCGATATTTAAATAGTTGATGAAGATATTAAACAGAACCGGTCCCAAAACAGACCCCTGCGGAACCCCACTTGTTATACCTTTCCAGCCCACAAGGTGCTACAGGACTTTTAGTCTCTGAGAATGGTTATCCAGTCAGTTATAGACTTACCTTATAGTTGCCCCATCTAGATTGTATTTCCCTAGTTTATTGATAAGAAGGTCATGTGAGACTGTGTCAAATGCCTTACTAAAGTCTAGGTATACCACCGTTTGTCCCTTATCCAAAAGGCTTGATATCCTATCAAAGAAAGCTATTAGATTGGTTTTTTTTACAAATCCATGCTGGCTGTTACCTATCACCTTATTTTCTTCCAGGTGTTTGCAGATGAATTCCTTACTGACTCCATTATCTTCCCTGGCACAGAAGTTAAACTCTATAGTTTCCTGGGTTGTTCTTATTTCCCTTTTATAGATGAGCGCTATATTTGTCCTTTTCCAGTCTTCTGGAATCTCTCCCGACTTACTTGATATTGCCTGATCACTTCATATTGCAAAGCCAGATCAAACTTATTCTAGTTAAATGTTTGGCATTGACATGTCACAGTAGGAACTTACAACAGTGGGTGAAACTTTATTTGACTAATATTTTTGTTAATTGGGGGCGGGAATCTTTTTCAGAAAAGTCCTGAAGGAAATCTCAGTTGGAGACCTCAAGCCGAATGAAACAGTTGAAGCAAATGTAGAAGCCCAACTACTCTCCAAGCTAGATCACCCAGCCATTGTCAAGTTTTATGCAAGCTTTGTGGAACGAGAGAGTTTCTGCATCATCACTGAATACTGTGAGGTAAAACTTCTTGTAGAATATTTTGAACAAATTAGAGGTAGTGTGTTTCTCAAAATAGGCCTTTTAGAAGATTTATTTTGTAACTTATTTATCTGCAGTATCACCTGCTGTTTAGGTGGCACATTCTAACCACTTAAAAAGGATGGTCCCTGCTCTGTGGAGCTCATGAAGGATGCTACAGTAGTAGAGTGGGATATGAAATGAGGGCCTGAATAAAATATTTGGCTGTGATATTGGATGCACAACTTGCTTGTCCATTACAAAGTATGTTATTCATTTTTAAATGCAAATATATCTTTAGCTCACGCAAATTTGCTGTCATCCCACTTAAGCTTCTATTGCCATTTTTTGCAAGTCCCACATTTGTTCCATGGCAAGTAGAGAGGCATAGATAAAAGATATTGTAAGGCTTTAAAATGAAATTAGAAAAACCCCACACCCAGCCTTTTAATAACCTTTCAAAATTTTTCACACAGCTTTTCACACAGCTCAAAATGTGCAGCTATTTTATATACTTTAATCTGTAAAATGGCTATTACTACCTAGCTAGTATTTAGGATGTGAATGCTTAACTGGGTGATGCTTACTGGTTATGGTTAATTGGTGGGTTGGAGCAGCTCCCTACCCGAAGTGGGCAGAGGGTGCTCTAGCCCAGCAAGAGCAGTCCCTGGGTCCCCACCTGTCCCTTGTTTAATTGGTTAACTGGTTAAATAAAACATTTAACCAGTTAACTGATTAATTAGGATTTGTATATCCCTAGTTAGTATCACAAATGGATTTTGTGCTGGCAAATTACATTGTTGCAAGCATCCAAATCTGATTTTAACAATTAAGAAAATAAAATCCCATCAAATCAGAAACTAATTTACTCTTTAAAATATACTTTTTTGAAAATTAAGTGTACTTTTATTGTTAAACTGTTTTCTTTCTCTGAAATGTTGGATTATGTTCTTGAAATGACATAATTATTCAAAGTTGTGAGGCAGTAAATAAGTGTAATTCTATAACTCCAAGGTGTATTACAAAAAGATCCTGGTAAGTTACAAATAACATTTGATGGGACATCTGTTTTATTGTCAGATATCAATGGAACCGACATATGAAATTAGGGAAAGTCAAGTCCAGATCCTAGATTCTTCCCTGCATTTAGGCCCTTTTTAACTGTGTCATTGGTGCAAAGTGTCCCTGAAGCCAGAGTAACTGGTCACCGGCACATCACACCAATGTAGGGGTTTTCTTTCCCTGCAATGTTGTAGTCTGCATAATGGCTTCTATACTCAGCCTCTTCTTCATGCTTGTTTATAGAAAATGACCGAGCAAAAGGGGCATGGCCGGGACCATCCCACTACACCCAAGCAATCACTGGCTGCTTTAATTTGCCTTGGGGCTACATATGTAACCTGGATAAGAAAAAGCAGGCTTTAGGCCACTCTAATGTGGACTAGGGGACCAGAAAATATACTTCTACATTTGCCTAACTCTGATAAATCTTAATATCCAGTTCCACTGACAGAGACTAACACCTAAAAGATCTTTATTAGGCATTCTTAAAACTTAAATACCCACCTGGGGAAGTGAGGAAACAGATTGACAGTCAGACAAGTAACCAGAAGTCACCTACTTCAGGACAGGCCCAACAAGTAAAATAATAGAACACCACTGGCCATCATCTACAGCCCCCAGCTTAAACCCCTTCAGTGCATCATTGACAATCTACAACCTATCCTGGAAAATCATAGAGAATCATAGAATCCTAAGGCTGGAAGAGACCCCAAGAGGTCATCGAGTCCAGCCCTCTGCCCAAAGGAGGACCAGTCCCAACTAAATCATCCCAGCCAGGGCTTTGTCAAGCCAGGACTTAAAAATTTCTAGGGATGGAGATTGCACAACCTCCCTAGGTAACTCATTCCAGTGCTCCACCACTCTCCTAGTGAAATAGTTTTTCCTAATATCCAAACTAGATCTCTCCCACTGTAACTTGAGACCATTGCTTCTTGTTCAGCCCAAATCCCTCAGTCTCTCCTTGTAGGTCATGTACTCCAGCCCCCTCATTATTTTAGTTGCCCTCCGCTGGACCCTCTTCAATGTGTCCACATCCTTTCTATAGTTGGGTGGGGCAGAACTGGACGCAATACTCGAGATGTGGCCTCACCAGTGCCAAATAAAGGGGAATAATCTCTTCTGTAGATCTGCTGGAAATGCTCCTCCTAATGCACCCTAATATGCCATTAGGGAAAAAGGGAAATAAGAAACTCAGGAAACTACAGATCAGTCAGTTTAACTTCTGTGCCAGGAAAGATAATGGAGTAAGTAATGAAGGAGTTCATCTGCAAACACCTGGAAGATTAATAAGGTGTTAGGTAACAGCCAACATGGATTTGTAAAGAACAAATCATGTCAAACCAATCGGATAGCTTTCTTTGATAGGATAATGAGTCTTGTGGATAAGGGAGAAGCGGTGGATGTGGCATACCTAGACTTTAGTAAGGCATTTGATACGGTCTTGCATGATATTCTTATCAATAAACTAGGTAAATACAACTTAAATGGGGCTACTATAAGATGGCTGCATAACTGGCTGGGTAACCATTCTCAGTTACTAACGGTTTACAATACTGCTGGAAAGGCATAACAAGTGGAGTTTTGGAGAGGTCTGTTTTGGGACCCGTTCTTTTCAATGTCTTCATCAACAATTCAGATATTGGCATAGAAAGTACGCTTCTTAGGTTTGCAGACGATACAAAGCAGCGCAGGGTTGCAACTGCTTTGGATGATAGGGTCATAATTCAAATTTATCTGGACAAATTGGAGAAATGATCTGAGGTAAATAGGATGAAGTTTAATAAATACAAATGCAAAGTATTCCACTTAGGAAGGAACAATCAGTTTCACACATACAGAATAGGAAGCGACTGTATAGGGGGCAGTACTGCAGAAAGGGATCTAGAGGTCATAGTGGACCACAAGCTAAATACGAGTCAACAGTGTGACGCTGTTACAAAGAAAAGCAAACATGATTCTGGGATGAATTAACAGGAATGTTGTGGGCAAGACATGAGAAGTCATTCTTCCACTCTACTCTGCGCTGATTAGGCTTCAGTTGGAGTATTGTGTCTAGTTCTGGACACCACATTTCAAGAAAGATGTGTAGAAATTGGAGAAGGTCTAGAGAAGAGTAACAAAAATTATTAAAGGTCTAGAGAAAATGACCTATGAAGGAAAACTGAAATAATTGGGCTTCTTTAGTTTGGAAAAGAGAAGACTGAGAGTGGACATGATAGCAGTTTTCAGGTATCTAAAAGGGTGTCATGAGGAGGGAGAAAACGTGTTCATCTTGGCCTCTGAGGATAGAACAAGAAGCAATGGGCTTCAACCTAAACCTCCCTTGCTGCAGTTTGACATTAGGAAAAACTTCCTGTCAGGGTAGTCAAACACTGGAATAAGTTGCCTAGGGAAGTTGTGGAATCTCCATCTCTGGAGATAGTTAAGAGCAGGTTAGACAGACAGCTATCAGAGATGGTCTAGACAGTACTGGGTCCTGCCATGAGGGCAGAGAACTGGACTTGATGACCTCTCAAGATCCCTTCCAGTTCTAGTATTATATGATTTTATGACAATCCAGTGAGCAAGGGTGCACACTCACAGATGTGGCTGTTCTTACTACCCACGAAATTACTTGAGTAAAATATTACGGTTCAGGGATACAGTACTCAAGCCTATCCGGAGCAGTTCCTGTTCCTTTGGTCAGTCCCCAATTTGTAACAGTGCTTGGGATTCTTCCATCCCAAGTGTAAGACTCTGCACTTGTCCTTGTTGACCCTCATCAGATTTCTTTTGGCCCAATCCTCCAATTTGTCTAGGTCACTCTGGACCCTAACCCTGACCTCCAACTTATCTACCTCTCCCCTAGCCAAGTATGATCTGTGAACTTACTGAGGGTGCAATCCATCTCCTCATTCAGGTCATTAATAAAGATATTGAACAAAACCAGCCTTAGAACTGGATCTTTGGAACACTCTGCTTGAAACTCACTGCCAACCAGACATTGAGTCATTGATTGCTACCCCTTGGACCCAACAATCTAGACAGCTTTCTATCCAACCTATAGTCCATTTATTCAATCCACACTTTCTTAATTTGCTGGCAAGAATACAGTATCAAAAGCTGTATCAAAAGCCAGGAGAACGTATCAAAAGCTTTGCTGAAGCCAAGGTCTATCACTTCACATCCAAAATGATCCCTCACTCTCAGACCTTGGGAGACAGACCAATCCTTGCCTACAGATAGTGCCCCCGCCTGAAGCAAATTATTTCCAGCAGCCACACATCACACCACAGATACACTCACCAGGAACCTACCCCTGCAACAAACCCCGTTGCCAACTCTGTCCACATATGTATTCAAGTGACACTATTGCAGGATGTAACCGCATAAACCACAACATCATAAAACTGCACATCCTTTAATATGATATATGAAATGCCCCTCTGCCATGTATATTGGCCAAACTGAACAGTCTCTATGACAAAGCATATGTGCACACAAATCAGACATCAGAAATGGTAACACACATAAACCCGTAGGGGAATGTTTTAACCTACCTGGTCACTAAATCATAGATTTAGAAGTAGCTTTCTTCTACAAAGGAATTTCACTAACCAATTACAGAGAGAGTCTGCAGAACTGGATTTCATCTGCAGATATGACATCGTTACCCTGGACTTGAACAAAGACATTAAGTGGGTGGTGCATTACAAAGCCAGTTTCTCCTGCCTTTAACATCTGCATTTCCACCTCAAAAGCTATGTATGGGACACATCCAGCCCACTTAATTAGCCTCATTAACACAGGTCATACAATTGACAAGTGTTGGTTAGTCTCTAAGGTGCCACAGGACTACTTGTTGTTCGTAATATGTAATGAATGAGATTCAGAGCTTTTTATCTAAAGGTTATCCGTTTAAATCCTACCTAAATTAACAGTGAGCAAAATTTGCTGCCACCTGATGGGTGTTTGGAAGCGTACTGTGTTATATGCCCAGTTTCTCGTCACAAAACTACTACTACAATTGGCAGTAATTGGTATCCTAGATCAGCGATTCCCAACCTTTTTTGTATTGTGGATCAGCAAACCCATTCATAATCTTTGGACAGAGTAGTAAAATTTTATTTGTATATTTGCATTTTCATAATGCAAATAATGAATCTGTAAATAAAATGTTGCTTGTTCACCTCGCTGCAACCCAATCCCTTGCTTCCCAGTGCCTAACACCCCTTGACCACCACTCTAACCCCCATGCCCTTTGACCCTTTAACGTCTGACCCTACAGCATATGCCAACAACCTCTTGCCCGATGACCCCACCAAACTCTCACCCAACATCGTTTTGTGCTTTGACCTCGCCTACCCCTGCACTCCCCAGAGCAAGGCTTCCCCCTCTAGGGAACATGGCCATTACTGCCATGTGGGCAGCGGGAGGGGCCATTGGCGGCATGCACGCTCCCTCCTCCTTTGTACCTCCTCTCTTCCCAAGCACGTCCAGCTCCCTCCCCAGTCAGCAGAAAGGTTCCCATAGAGTTGTTTCCCCTGTCTTGCCACAAACTTCCTGAGTGTCCTTTGGCAAGTCACTTAAGGTAAAATTTTCACAAGTGACTAAGGCACTTAGGAGCCTCCGACCTACTGACTCTCAATGATTTACACTGCTCAGTCACCTCCTTGTTTGTGACCGTGTGTCCCTCTGCGGTTGTGGATAGGGAGCGCGGAGCCCCAGTTGGGTTACCATCTTATCTAGGTGGGAGGAGGAGAAAAGAGGGAGGTGCCTCCTGCTCCACCTCCTCAGCCCCAGCGCCGCTGCCAGGCAAAATCTCACGGACGGGCACCCGTCCACAGACTGGTGGTTGGGAACCACTGCCCTACCTGGCAAGTTCAGAAGAAAAATCAAGCATTAAGTTAGTATGGTAAAATGAGCTACTGTTTCATTCCTTGTTCTGTTTTCTTCAAAGTACTGTGGCTTTGAGCCTTTTGATGGAGTAATGAGGTGCAACCCTTCAGTGCAGCACCTGATGTTATGTTTGTTCTATGAATAACAGAGTAATCCAGTCTGGCACATTTCATTAGTGCTAACCACATTTGCAATTATAGAAGAGAAGAGAGTGTATTCTGGTCTGTTTTTGTGAACTTCCATGATGTGTGTCCCATTTCAAATATTTTACAGCAGTATAAAAATAATCTGTGTAAGATTTACATGAAGAATTCTGTTCTATTTTGTGACCTAAAACTGGACATCAGTGAAAGATAGTTCTTAAAAACAATAATAGATTAACTTCCCCCAAATTACATATGATTTTTAATAAAACAATGACATGTAAAACATAAGTCATTACCTTCTCAAAATAAAAATAACATAATTTCCTTTCTCCAGTATGGTTTCAGTTCATCCTGAAATACACATTCTCTCAGAAAAATTAGAAATTCTAGGCACGAAGGCCTGTTCATGTTATCAATCATAAAAGCCAAAAAAGCAAATCTTGTTTCAAAATACAGGCAGTCCCCGGGTTACGTACAAGATAGGGACTGTAGGTTTGTTCTTAAGTTGAATGTGTATGTAAGTCGGAACTGGCGTCCAGATTCAGCCACTGCTGAAACTGATCAGTTTCAACAGCGGCTGAATCTG